GTTGAAGTTTTTTTGTTTTACTTCGTTTCGTTGTATTTGGTGACCTATCCACCTGATTCAGAGATGTGTTCTTGTTGAAGTTTTTTTGTTTTACTTCGTTTCGTTGTATTTGGTGACCTATCCAAACCTTATTATAATGAAAATACTTGGATCTACTCTCTGCCATCTCTATCTTTCTCTATTGCTCTATCTCTCTCTCTCTCTCTCTCTCTCTCTCTCTCGTTCTCCCCCTCACTCCCCTTCTCGTGCGCTTAATCTTAAAACTCTTATGTTATATGTTTAATATAAAAATTATTGATTTTGTTGGAAATATTCAAAAAAACAATTTTTAGTTAAATTATTTTCTATATAAATATATGTAATAGTTTATTACTATATTACATATTATTTACTCCATAATATGTCGATTCATGAAACATGATGAGCCATTGTCATTTAATGGCAATGCATCTAGTATTATAAGTGATCCAATATCAGATAAAATGTCGATAACACCACGTTACCCGCGTGTGGTTACGGCCAAAAAATTCCTTTTCACAACCGCTAGTCAGTCAGTGAATGAAGCTGCTATAAACCTCCTTAGTCTGTACGAAGATGGCAGCATGGGCTATCTCTTCACCCATCTCTCTTCTCTCGCGCTTTCTCTCTCTCTCTTGCAAGTACGCCTGGCAATCAATATTGTGTGTCCATCAAACCTGCATGTCGTTGACCCACATCCCTCTCTGCCCCCGAAAGCGTCGGAAATGACCGATTTCTCTCGACCCTGCGGACCTCTACCCACAAGTCTGTGCGCGCATAAAGAAGACCATTCACAAAACTTGGAGCTAAACTTTTGTGGAAAAATGCATCAACAGTCGCTGTTTTCTCGGTGCTTGGACCTCTGATTCGCGTAAGTATTACTTCAACGTGTCTCTTGGATGTTGCGAAACGTCATTCTTCCATGTTCGCCTGCGATAAGTCGCCGTATAAGGTTCGATTCGTGGCGCACTGGATAAGCAGCATCGTAGCCGCCACTGGCAGTGACGTCAGTCTGTGGACATCGTAGTCCATTGGCATTGTATATCGCCAGTTATTGTCTAAGGTAAACATCGTTTAAGTGTCGGTCCGTAAATGTTTTAGGTGCTAAATGGTCGCTTACATCGCGTTCTCTGGATCTATTCACAATTGTGTATTTCGCGGAAGATCAATGCGTGAATTGTACGGGCCTAAACTCGCAAGCAATAGAAATCTCGGTTGTAAAAATGCTCGTACAAGTAGAGCCTAGCCTAGCATAGAGGGTTGTTCGGTGACAATCTCATTGTTCTCCAAGCCTATTTAATTACATTGTAAACATATGTGAAGATAATTGTTATGATGAAGGATTATGAATGAATTTCAAGCGATTGGTTTAGATTAAAAGGTCACTGTAAGAACTCGTCTCTAGCACAGCATGAATAACAAATAATCAAATTATTTAAATACGTTTGCTTGCAAATAATTAAAATGTAATCGGTCTCCTCTGTCTGTTGTTGGATTGCGGATACTGTTCTAGGAGTAGGTTCTGTGTATAGACTATCTCCATGGCTTGACTCATGTGATCACTTAATTAGTTAACTGACAATTCTGAGTAGGTCAATATCTTTCGTATTTTTTGCCAAAAGAATAGCTGCCTTATCGGAACCATGTCAGTGTTTGATTCATGGAAGATTACATGTGATCATTAATCTAGATTAACATATAATTTCGATAGATCAGAATTTCCTCGCATAGCTTAATGTGGGTAAACTCAATAAAGGCTAAATTGCTTAGCCCAATATTGTCATTAACCTGTGTGAAGCGCTTCACCGTACTGTACAGACAGGCAGGTTCATAATTGATGTAAGATAGAGGTTAAACTCACCTAATATGCTCTCAAATATGTAGAGCACCCTTTTCATTTTGGCGCACTTGTAAATCTCTGTTGCCACTAGTGGTTATAAGCAAATCTGTCCGTACATGATAATAATAAAAAATGTTCATTTACATTTCACATGTAATATTATAGGGATATTAACAAATGCTTCTGCCATTTTTATTTGCGGCCATTTCAATTACCCTTGCTCTTAAAAATGTAGGCATCTACCACAGTTTATCACTCTAGTAGAGTGCGGTATAATACATTCATGTAGTATATGATTGCTGAATCAGCTGATCTGATTTTTATCACCCATGTTTCTAAGTGTCATGGAAATTACACTGGTTACCTAAATATATCTATGGTTACTAAGAGACTAATTGTAAATTTTTAATAGCTATCTTTCTAATAAATCAAAAAAATAATCTAAATAAATCTATCTAATCTATAAAATTTCCCATCTAGTTGCATGTAGTCTCGTGAGCAATATCTATGATTAAATGGGGTTGAAATTAAATTGCTGGCATATCGTTATGGACCGTGTCTAGTTTAATACAAGCTCAAACCAGCGACACCTTTTTAAAATAAATTAGTCAGTTATATCTATTTGTAAATTCATCATAGCAGGTATGTAAATTTTACTCCCAACCAGTGTTGTAATTGTCAGTGTATTGTTGGTAATGCACATCACTTAGCTAGTTGTTTTAGCTTATTATAGTAGTACTATAAGTACTACCGTATAATAGTTAGTATCATGAATTTTTGAAGATGGATCATCATTATTGTCGTCATCTTTGCGTACGAACTTACAGTAGCTAGGTAGGATTAGAGTACCTACATAAAGATCTTTATGTAGGTACTCTAGGTAGGATCAGCTAGGTATTAGATGTGTTGCTACGTTGGATTTCGACAATTTGGTGACATGCTATACCCTTGCCCAACTCGGTACTACCGTACATAAGGCCAAAACAAAATATATGTGTGGTTACCGTTACATGCCGAAAAAAAATAGGGTAGGTAGTCGGTAGGAAAAATTTTATTTTCGTTGAAATATTTTATATACGAAACCATGTCAATAGGGATTTGCGTGCTGTGCCTTTGATGCAGCGAACTGTCCGAATTTCATATATTTTTTTGAAAAAATTATTTATTTTTTTGACTTTAAAGAAATTGACATATAAAATGTTAGGGTCGCTGGAATAAAGTCGGCGAAACGTAACGACACGCTTGTCTGGATATTTTTGTTTTGGCTAATAGCTTGTAATCCATCCGATTTTTTAAGCTGAATTATTGTCGTCATCTTTTGATGTACACTATCGCGCATCTCTTCAACCCGTTGAATATCGGCGAGAAAGCTTCCCGATAACACGGTAGCCCGAAAACTAAAACCCGTTCCTGCAAAGGTTCGGGCCGAACGGGACCTGCGACTATGATCGAAAATTATGACGGCGAGCCCATGGGTACATGCGTTCTGTGGCAACAACCGGTGTAAGATTCTCTGCTCTTCAGAATGTGAATACTTGTTTTGCATGACGTTTGAACACCAGCCGACGCAGTACAGTAGCGTAGAGTTGGCATCACTGGCTTTGAACGTGCTACAGCCTCTTGTTAGTTTGGTAGGAAATTCCTGCCTGTCTGTCGGGACTCAAAACTTCGAAGGACCTGACTAAACTTGAGTCGAAGTAAACCCCTGCGGTGTCCAGCCGAATCACACGTCGATAGTCACAGTCGGCGGCCGCCAGTCTGCAACGAGAGAGGAATTCGGTACTCATAATCATGCATGTCCTACGGCTAGACTGTTGGACTTGCGGACTTCTTAGGCCAAAACAAAATATAGATGGGTTCGGTTTTCCCGCGACAATCCCTATTTATTCCCAGCGACCCTACATCATTTGTTATTGTCAATTTCTTTAAAGTCAAAAATAAAAAAATAAATAAAAAATAAAAAATATATGAATTTGGACAGTTTCCTGCTTCAAAAGGCACTCAACGCAACATCCTTCGGACATGGTTCGTAAATAAAATATTTCAGCAAAAAATAAATTTTTTCCCTACCTACCTTAGCCCTGGATTTTTTTCGCATGTACGGTACTCATACATAATTTTGTTTTGGCCTCTTGGGTACGTTGCTTCGAGCGAAATTATCGGCGAATGTTGAGACAGACAGCGGTTACGCGTTTAGATGTCAACCGCTCGCGACGGTATCCACTACACTTCGTCGGCGCGAATTTGTTACGTCTCTGACTAAGATGTTGGGGTACAGTGCAGCAGTCGCTTCCTCTTATAATCGGAATCCTTGCCTGTGTGAAAAACTGGTAGGTGTTGGGACCGTCTTAGCAAGTATGCCTTGTATTGACATCTTTGCTGGTGTGAAACTGTGTAGATGGTGAGATTCTAGCAGTAACACCTTGTATTGACATCCTTTACTCGTGTAAGACTGAGTAGGTGTGGGCCTACAAGCTGCTCTTGTATTGACATGTCCTTACTGTGTGGGAGCAGTAGGTAGTTGGGTTCTCTAGCATAATACCATTGTATTGACATCCTTACTGTTGTAGGACTTGAGTAGGATTGGGTCCTTACTAAGCTTGCCTTGTATGACATCCTTACTGTGATTAGGACTGACGGTGTGGGTCCCTAGCAAGCTCGCCCTTGTATTGGCATCCTTACTGTGTAGGAACGGATAAGGTGTGGGTTCTCTAGCAGTAACACCTTGTATTCGACACTCCTTACTGTGTGGGGACTGAAGTAGGTGTTGGGTTCTCTAGCAAGCTTGCTCTTGTATTGACATCCTTA